TTGGTTGAATCTGGAGGGAAATCAGTTCGAAGGAAAGATACCCAACATCCGGCAAGCGAATATCACCCTGGTTAATCTTGCAAATAACCAACTTCAAGGTCGACTGCCGGACGCCGTGAGTAAGGAAGTCGCTTCCGCATTTGTAGGTAATTAGCACTTTAATTGCTAGATAGCAACTTGATATTCAACGTCGTCAACCATAATCAAATTTAACTGAAACTCAATCAAGTTCATAATTATATTTATTATGAAAATTAATGTTAATTGTGTTAAACTTGAGCCAAAAAAAGGAAAATAGTGTAAGAACACTGATTGATATACATTTTGATTCAATATATTGTAAAAATATTCACTAAAAATTATTATTTTTTAATTTGAAATTAAAAACTAACAATTTTAAAGATGGAGATATGCATATAAAATGTAAAAATTGATTGAATTAACTATATTTAAAGATACAGTTATGCATATAAAATGTAAAAACTAACTTATTCTTACAGTAATGCGTTCTTGGCTGATTCATCAGCTGAATGTTAAGAATACTTTTTTTTTTCTTAATAGTACTCTATTTGAAATAGTTTATATGTCCCATCCTCTTAGATTTGTGGCTTCAAAGCATCGAGATTATGTTTGTAAGTTGCAATGAGAACTTTATGGCTTGAAGCAAGCTTTAGAAGCATGGTTTCATTTACATCTTTTCTTCTCTCATGGGGGCTTGTTCAAGCCAAATTTGATTGGTCTTATTTGTGTTTCATACACCTAGTTTGATGGCTTATATTTTTCTTTATGTTGATGATATCATTCTTACTACATCTTCTACATCTTTGCTGCATAAAATTATCTCACTATTGAAATTTGAATTTCAGATTACTGATTTAGGCTCCTTGAATTATTTTCTTAGTATTAGTGCTTGATTTAATGATACTAGATTATTTTTTGTTACGTTTTCTTTCTTTTCTGTTTGTTTGGGTTGAGAGATGAAGGGCTTTTAATCGAGTGAGGGTTCCTTGGAAGATCTGGTTGCGATGATATGGGTTCAAGTTGGAGCATGGAGATGTTAATTGAGTGTCCAATTTACTAGTAAATTACCTTCAAGGTTGATGTTGCTCGTTCTTTGAAATCTGTAATAGCTTTTTGGCTTGTAAAAAGAACTATAGAAAATGGCCAAATGATTTCTTCTACTCTCTTTTGTCCCATAAAAGAAGTAGAAGCTTGTTTTCCTCTTTCTTTTTATTCTTTTTTTTCAGCGGATCTCTCTTCTCTCTCTCTCTTAAAAGAAGAAGACGGCCAAATGGGGCCCCTACTATTTGTAAGCTTTTGAAAAAATAAAAATAGTTTTTTTTTTTGGTCGCGTCTCTCCTCTTTAATTTTTTTTTTCTTTCATTTTTTTTTCTCAAAGGAAAGATAGGAAGATAGAAGGGGTGGAAAAAAAAATAATAGAAATGAAACTTTATTCAACTTTCATTTGGAAAGCTAAGTGCAATCCTAGACCGACTTGCTCTAATACTATGAAGAAGTTTCTAAGTTTAGTGAGGAAATCTCTAATAATAGAAATCCCATGATAACATAGCAATAAGGTGAGCAAAATAAAAAATAAATGAGAGAGAAAGGAAGACACGATATTAGGTGATTTGAGATAGTTTCAAGACATCATGATGTATCTAAACCCCTAGTTGGTGATACAAAAGGCTCTTTGAGCTTTGAATGTTTATTTTTTTTGTTCTTTTCTTACATATAAGTAATCTATTTATAAGGTGAGGGATGCATAATAACAATTAATTAAAAATTTCCTATTAATGAGATTATAATAAATACCAAATCCTTGAAATCAATCAATTGGAAAATTAATTTCCCTTTGCTTGATCAATCTTCATAATAGGGTGATATTTCTTCATTCTACAATCGTATCAATTATTGCATAATTTGGTACTCTTCTTTCTTCAATTTATAATAAGATCAATCATTTATGATTTGTTAGAATAGAGGTTTTGGGCTGCTGGAGGCGGGAGAGAATGGGGGGTTGGAATGAATTCAGATGGAGGTTCGTAGGATGGGTGAGTCAACGGTGGTGCTGAATAGGGAGATTGAAGGTAGGGCCGTGCTTGGAATCACTGATAACCTGGGAGGAGAGCTTGGTGTGCTGGAAAAGAGGGGGTGGTGCAAGCAAGGACTAAGCCTTGGAAAAGGATGGCTAGCGGTCAAAGGAGTAGTGAGGAATATAGTCATGCTCGCTGTGCTGGGGGTAAACAACATGGATCCGCTCCTGTGGGGGGAACTCCAGATAAGAAGAGCAAAAGTGGAGGAGGTATGGAACAGAATTTGGCCGGAGTGGGAATGGATAATATGCCACCCTCCCAAATTCTTTTTTATCTTAGACTTTTGAATTGAAACCTATTAATAGTATCAGGTTCCTAGGATTTTGCTGAAACTACTTGCTAGATGTTTAGATTCATTTTAGAATAAGAAATGTTGGCAAAGTGTTAGGTGGGATTGGTAACGGTGATATCTTGCTCCATTTTCCCTTACTATTAATCTTGTAATCTCTGATATTTTATAAATGAAAATTTTCTTCCATCAGTATATATATACATAGACACACATTCTTCTAAAAGTGAGCCCTTGGTCATATATATAGAGTAGGACTGCAAACAGTTGCTAAAATTTAGAGATCTTAAATTTAATTTTTTTAATATTTTCATTTAAAAAAGAAAAGAGAGAGAGAAAAAGAATTTCTTGGTTCTCTCTAGCATATTTTGTTAAAGTGAGAAGGAAGAAGCATATAACTTGAATATGATAGGAGCCACTTTATTTATCACCCATTTGTTTTAAGATGCTCATGTTGTGTTAAGACGCAAATATATATATCATCACCTATAATGGCATTTGTAGGATCCTCTCCATCTATATAAGGATGAAAGTTTCTTAGTTTTGAGTCAGAGTGAGCAAAGAGAGGAAAAAAAAAAAAAAAGGAATTAATATTGTTGCAACCAGCACAAGATGAGTGCCCAAGCAGATGAAGTGCCCTCCGAAGGATACATAGTCAATGTTGGCACTGGGGCTGGAGGTCGCAATACCGGCGAAGGATCCGGAAGTATCAACAACAATAAGGTGAGCGGACAAATCAGCATTACCTCCCCCCCAAAGCAACTGAGTGCGACAACCCCACCAGTTAACGCAACTTCCAACAGAGGCCCCGGCGCCGGGGCTGACAATGAAGGTAGGAACTCTGGAAGTATCAACTTCAATAAAGGAAAAATCGTGCTCTCTTAATCCTAGCAATAACATATTATCATAAGCTAGTATATGACTCTATTGAGGCCCAGAGATAATAAATAAATAATTACTTCAGCGCTGCTTCCATGGATGTTATGTGAGCAGCCTACACCCTAGGCCAAATGAGTATGCTTTTGAAAAAAATATATGTTTGTAATGTGTTTTATGAGTGCTAATATATGGTACTTGTTGAGCATAATTTGTATGGTTAATTAGTTCACCTTATTGTTTATAATTCAATTTATAATTTTTATCAAGAAAATAATTGGTATACCTTCCGATTTAACATATTTAACAACACTCACCAGTTCAGTCATTAAAATTTGCCTTTAAAAATTTTTTCGCCTTGAATTCAAATTTAAAAATATTTGTTTCTTAATGATTAAACTGATGAGTGTTGTTAAGTGTGTTAAACTGGAAGATGTATTAATCACTGTCCATTTTATTATTATAGAGTACAAAGAATAATTTTACCTATAAAGATAGTTCATAGTGACAAAGAGGAAGTATTTAATTTGGTTATTACTTTAATTTAGCTGTCAAATTAAGATATTGATATAGACATCTTCCGGTTCAATACACACTATAATATATTCATTCAAAAATTATTATTTTTAAATTTAAAATAAGGTAAAAAAACTTAAAATTATAGATTTTAATAGTTAAATCGATGAGTGTTGGTGGGTGTGTGTTGAATTGAAGAGTGTACTAATTAGTTTTTGTCAAATTGAAATGATTTTTTTTTTCTTTTGATTTTGAGTTTCATAATAAGAGATAATAACTCTCTTTTTCATTCTTTAACTTTTCACACTTATGTGTGATGCGGTTTAAATCTAGAAACTTTTACTTTCACTACAGATCTTGAAAAAAATTATAGTAAAAGCCAAAAAGTTTTGAGGGGCCAATTAACTTTAAGGAATTCTTATAGGGTCAAGTGAATAAAATGCCCTTTAAAACTTAAAAGATTTTGAAAAATTTTAGGGGGCCGTGGCTTCTCCTTGTATATCCTCTCCGCCCTTACATTCATAAGAAAAAAATGACCATTAAACTATTTAATTTATTGCATAATATTACAAAATTTAGTACATAAATAGAAGCTTCTTTTGTATGATAATAAGGAATGGAGCCAAAAAATAATCTTAGGGGACGAGGTGCTATTTGAAAGGTATATGTTAAAAATAAGTTTTTTGACTTGTAAGTGAGATTAAGGTTTAAATATACAAAAACTAAAATTTTAAAGCCTTAAATATCAAAAAATTTGTTAAAATTTATGCGTATTTAAGTTTCAATTTGAAACACAACTTCTATCACACAATGATACCCTATAATATAGTAAGTAAAACAAAATGTTTTAAAAAATTGATAATATCTATTTTAAGTCAATTTTATTCTATTGCTTGATGCAAATGATCATTAACCAAGTATAAATTACAATGACAAATATGTCAAATAAATAAAAATATTTTTATAAATATGTTTTATTTGTCAAATAATTAATTATTTATAATAAAACTTATGAAAAAATAAAAGTTAAAATACACAATTTATTTCTTTTTAGA